GGTTGTGAGGTTAAGCAGGCATGTGCAGGACGTGACGATTCCTTGGGTGAGCCCAGAACCAGAGCGCCATGTGCCGGCTCTGCATGCATGGAAGCCTCCTTGGATGGTGGGGAATGCCCATGATCTGCCCCTGCCTTCCCTTGAGGGCTAACTGTTCCACAGGGGGCTGCCCCAAAGGGGTACTCCGAGGGCAATACCTGCGGAGGAGACAAAGTGGACACCACACAAATCAGGCAACGTCTCGACCCACACAAAACAATGGCCACAGTCAACCTAGAAATAGGCCTGACGTCTTCCTTCGAAGTCGGAGTACAGCTGCCCATGAGGCAGGGAAATGAAAAACGGTTGTACACGCAAAAATCAGGTCCAGGTGAAAGCCAAAAGTCCAAGCGGACGATTAACCGGGACCTTCCACTGGAATTCACAGCCGGTGATCGATAAAAAAAAAAAAAAAAAACTTGATGATGATGATTAAGACTGTTCAGAGATCTCAACAATGAATTTTTCTGGTTCACTTGACTTTTTTTTTTTTTAGCAGTCCCTGGTTGATTTGATTTGATTCAAAAACCAACATCACAGCACTTGGGGCATTCCGTCCCCATCTTCAGCAGCCAGCGAAGAGTTCCGATACTAATGGTGCCAGTAGCTTTCTGATTAAACGTCTATCTTGCCTTTGCTCTGAGCCTTGAGCTTCTGCCAGAACCTCTCGTCACCCCAACTGCATCAATCTCACCAGACTGTGGTGATCCATCCGCTCCTCCGCATTGTACACGCTCTCCCACAAGGCACTAACCATGTCTGCCCTATCATGTAGCAGTAATTCACCAAGTTGTGCAGAGCCATCTAGTCTGTCCGCCTGTTCATCTCCCAACACACCGGCGTCACCCTGATGATCATGACTAATTTTTTTTTCAAATATTATGAAGCTTGGATAGAATGCCAGACTCTCGAGCAGGAGATCTGTGTTTGAACCTCCATAAAGTGATGGAGGTTTTTTCTGTCAAGGACAAAACCAATTCTTGGTGGCTGCACTAGCCATGCAGTCCTAAATTCTCAGGCTCAACACCACCCCCCCCCCTAAGTGGTACTACTGGCAGTAAAACAGATTTTTCTGCTGCTTTATCTACTATTTTTATGTTAGTGAGCTGTTGAATTGTCCATTTGTTTAGTTTCCCATCCCCTCTAATCACTCTCCAGGATAAACTACTTCAATCTCTAGTTCACTTCATAATCAATCCAAATTTATCCAGCATCAACAGTTGCTTATTGTAGCACTCTCTAGGATTAACAGTTTCTTATCCAGGCACTGATATGTTTAAAGTCATGGGCAGATGGGAGATGTAATAAAGAAGTTCAATGCAGAATAGCTCAAGTAAAGGCAGCATTTTACAAAATGAAGAATATTCTATCCAATTATTCTTTGTCAATAGAAACCAGAAAGAGAATTCTCAAGAGCCATATAAATCCTATCACGATACATGAAAGTTAATCATGGACAGTTGTAGGATTAGTGAAAAATTATTTGGAAGCGGCAGAGATGAGGTTTTGTAAACGAATAATGAAAATACCCTGGACAGATAACTAAAGATTTCTTAAAAGAAAATGACTCATAAAGAGAACTGATTGTCTATAGAAGAAGAAAAGAAACAATCTACATTCTTTGGTCATGTCATAAGAAGGAGAAAACTGGTGTACCTCTTAACAGTTAGAAAGTTGGAGGGGAAAAGAGGCAAAGGGAAACCAAAAGAGAAGATGCTGGGTAGTTTTACACCATGGCAAAGAAGATCACATGTGCTTGAACTGATTGAAAATACACAAGACAGAAGGTTGTGGATAGATATGACTACCAACACAACAAGGTATGGAAGATCATCCTTGTCAGAACTGATCTAAAGTACATAAGACAGAAGGTTGTGGATAGAAATGATCATCAGTGCCACACAGATGCTTTATCTTCTTCTTAAAACATTTATCCACATCCCCCCTCCCTTTTCAATCAATAGAGTGCAGGCCCAACTAGATTACCAGCGCCACATGGCATGGGCTATAAGAAGATATGGGCACTCTCTATAATCAATGGTTTCCCCATCCATGAACTTTCCAGGATCTGTGGTTTCCCATCCATGCACTTTCCAGGATCTGTGGTTTCCCATGAATGCACTTTCCAGTATCTGTGGTTTCCCATCCATGAACTTTCCAGTATCTGTGGTTTCCCCATCCATGCACTTTCCAGGATCTGTGGTTTCCCATCCATGCACTTTCCAGGATCTGTGGTTTCCCATCCATGCACTTTCCAGGATCTGTGGTTTCCCATCCATGCACTTTCCAGGATCTGTGGTTTCCCATCCAATGCACCTTCCAGGATCTGTGGTTTCCCATCCATGCACTTTCCAGGATCTGAGGTTTCCCATCCAATGCACCTTCCAGTATCTGTGGTTTCCCCATCCATGCACTTTCCAGGATCTGTGGTTTCCCATCCATGAACTTTCCAGTATCTGTGGTTTCCCCATCCATGCACTTTCCAGGATCTGTGGTTTCCCATCCATGCACTTTCCAGGATCTGTGGTTTCCCATCCATGCACTTTCCAGGATCTGTGGTTTCCCATCCATGCACTTTCCAGTATCTGTGGTTTCCCATCCATGCACCTTCCAAGATCTGTGGTTTCCCATCCATGCACCTTCCAGGATCTGTGGTTTCCCATCCATGCACCTTCCAGGATCTGTGGTTACTATCTGGACAATGATATAAATAAATGACTACTGTTTAGAAGTTCTCTTGCCTGTGTGTTGCCAGAAAGTTCCCCCCCCCCCCCCACAAAAAACTGCTAACACTGTAACCTATCAAGCCTAAAGTAAAAAGCATGGGACTGATTGCCTCATCCTGCAGAAAACTTCTGCTACAAAACCCAACTAATTATGAATAAGTCAAAATATAGTTTGTCATGAGTTGTTTGATCCCCCAACTATTCATCACTTGGGGATAACCGCAACAAGAGTTCATGGGTCATTCACTAACAAAACACAAAACACATCAAACCATTCTCTAGTTTCTTAACTCACTTGTTTGGAATTTTGGTGAAAATCTTGATGACCGTTTCTTCCATCATGTCCAACGGTTCTATGGGTGTACAAAAAAACCGAGTTATTTTATATAATCATTGTCATACTTACTTACTTACTTAGTCGCTCCTCTTCTACCTTGGGGTGTAGAGGTTAGCCAGAGAGATCGCCAGACATCTCTATCAGCGGTTTTCTTCCTGGCTTTGTACCATTCCAGTCCTCTATCACTTAGGGACTGTTGGATGTTGTCTTCCCAGCAGACCATGGGTTGCCCTGGAGGTCTGGTTCCCTGGTTCTTAGCCTCCCATACCTGCCATGATGGCCGATTTTCTCCCATTCTGCATAAATTGTAACATTCCAGTCATATGCTACTAATGTCCTAGTCTGACACTGCTGGGACTGAGCAATACATTTCTTTAACAAATGCAAATGATTATACTGAAATATTACAGGTATTTAGAGTAAAAATAAGAAAACCGTGAATGGCTATATTAAACCTTGGTCTCATACATTTACACAAGCCCTCCTCCTCACAAACATAGAGACATAGAGAAAAATGTTCAAAATTTATTGGATAAACAAAATAGGTATTTAAAATTTTATGAAAGAAGTTAAGTTGCAAAGAGAACTTATCACTTCACGTAGTGAGGCGGCCAATATGTGAAAAAACTGTCAATTTAAATAGCGACTCACTTCCATAACATGAAAAAGGCTATCAAGAATCTTGTTGTCTTCCATATCATAAATATTTCTAGCAACAGCAATAGAAGAAGCAGAAGCTGCAGCAGAAGAAGAAGAAGAAGAAGCAGAAGCAGCAGCAGAGGCAGCAGAAGCAGAGGCAGAAGCAGAAAAAGCAGAAGCAGAAGAAGCAGCAGCAGAAAAAGGAGAAGGAGAAGAAGAGTTGGAGGAGGAGGAAGAAAAAGAAGAATACAAGAGCAAATACTCATGAAGTATTTAAAACTGATGTTTCAGTGCACAGATGACTAATGGAAGTTAACTAGATGTTTTCAGAACAGGTCACTGCAGACATGGCCATATATTGGTGTTTACGGGACTGTGTCACAACAGGAAGTGACTAGATTTAGACTTCTTGGGGCAACAGAGTTAATAGTCAGGTTTGCTTATGTTCAACACAATGGTCAGACATTCAGACGATCATTTCATGAGGTTTAAGGTTTGAACAACTGATCAACATCATGGCACACGGGTGGTAACTCAAGTCTAAGTCCGAAGAAGCTCAGCACAGTGCACAGGCTCTGTAGCATCAGCCAGGATCCTGAAATACTTTAGGTACATTTTTAATTCTAAATTTTACCTGGGAAGCGCAATTCGGCTACTATTTTTGCTTTCCAACTACTAAGGGATTTTTATGTCTGCAACAATGCACACGGGCGTCCGATCTCACTACCCAGAGACCAGGGGGAATTACCAGAAGTACAAGTCCATGTAAAAAAATCCCAGCCCTTACCGGGGATTGAACATGGAACCTCTAACACTCAAGGCAGACACCATGCCTCGAGACCACGCAGCCCCACAGAGGATCATTTCAAAGAATAGATTACTTATAGAATGGACAACTAGAGTCATGCAGTGAGCTGAATACATTACCCATAGAGTGGACAACTAGAGTCATGTAGTGTGCTGAATACATTACCCATAGAGTGGACAACTAGAGTCATGTAGAGTCATGTAGTGTGCTGAATACATTACCCATAGAGTGGACAACTAGAGTCATGTAGTGTGCTGAATACATTACCCATAGAATGGACAACTAGAGTCATGTAGTGAGCTGAATACATTACCCATAGAGTGGACAACTAGAGTCATGTAGTGAGCTGAATACATTACCCATAGAGTGGACAACTAGAGTCATGTAGTGAGCTGAATACATTACCCATAGAGTGGACAACTAGAGTCATGTAGTGAGCTGAATACATTACCCATAGAGTGGACAACTAGAGTCATGTAGTGTGCCGAATACATCTTCACGTAAAAGGAGTGCAGCTGTTCATACACATTGATGCCATTTTTCTCTGGATCTTCCTTCAGCGACTTCACATTGCCTGTTTTGGATGTATAAATATTCGGTTAAACAAATCCCGTCTCCAAAAGAAATGTCTTCTTTCCCTTTGACCAAGAACACAAAAAAGTGGTTCTCTTGACATAACCACAGAGAGGTAAGCAATGTCATCATAAGTTTATTATGACATCAAAATGACATAAAATCACATTTGTGTCCCCATAAATAAAAGTGTTAAAACCAATAAAAAAAATGTCCTGTTGAAAATATAACTACACCCACATTATGCAGTTGCAATCAGTATCAAAGCCATTATAAAAGCTTACTAGCCAGTGGCCAAAAAAGACAGTGTTATCAAAAACCTGTAAAACAAAGAAAATTTGCTCTTTTTTGGGCGGCAAGGTTAAAATGGTGGGTTGCATGCCGTGTTGTGGATTAAAGCTAGGAGGGATATTTTGGCCCAATACCCCCAGTTTCAGTGAACCCTAAATTTGACAAATCTTCTGAAACAAACATAATTCTTTTTAAAACAATGTTTTCCCGTAATGAATTTAAATAATGCGGATACAAACAATTTATTGCCAGGCATATTTCGCTGTATCTCATCAGGTGCGTTACTACAGTTACATCAACATAAAATAAAGCACAAAAGTGATTAAATTCAACTGAAATGCGAATAGTTTCTTCGATACATTGTCTCTGTTTCATGGTTGCCGGAAGCTCACCATAGTCACGTGACTTCCAGGGTAACTTCAAATGTACGATAAATTCCATCTGCTTACAAAGGAGGGGGTCGTTGATTTTTATTGTTATGGCTTCAGCAATTCTCAAAAGTTTCCTGTTCAGAGTGTGGTAAACCATACGGAAAGCAGTGTCTGTGTTAATTATGTGTCAGGAATTAAGTAGATGCCGTCCTATGGAAGAAGCGGGTTCCTTCCTCTTGACTTGTCTCAACACCCTAGAAGAATCACTGAGCTGTTTATGTAGCCATTTGGGTATGTGCTCTGCCACTCTTTTTCCACGCTGTCTCTCTGTTTGATCGATGTAAGTCAACTGGCACTTACATGTGAATTGGTAAATACAATTAGATTTGGTATAAGGAGAAAGGATCTGTTTAACTGGTGGGGTTGGGATAGGAGTGGTCTTGTACCTCACTACTGGAACAGCCGCAAAGAATGTTTGACCAACTGATGTTTTCAGTCGGTTCTGCAGACGCTGCATGATGTCATCACCTCGATAAGTAAGTTGGATATATACTCGTAGTTTGGTTATTGTAATTTCCTTCGGGGTAGGGTTGGGTGGGGTGCAATGACATTTGATGAAACCTATGGGGTACCCATGATTTGTTTTTATTTTTTTCATCCATTATCTGCAGAATTTCATTTGTCATCCATTTCTTATTTTGCAACTCTATGTGTTGAAGGAATAAGCTCTTTCAATATCTGCTGAATTCACTCACGCAGCATATCCTATTTTTCATCAATAGTTTGTATTATTTCTATGGCGTTATATCTGTTTTGCACAGTGACACTGTACTGTTCCTTAATTTCTTTATCTCTTTTAAGTATTCCTAAATGTAACTTGATATGTGGGTTCTTCTTTATAGTCTTCACTATAGCAATCTGCTCTTGATCTAGTCTTTGCTCCAATTAAAACTGCTTCTGAATCGTTTTGAAATCAATATATAATCAATCTGATTGCAGACATTATCACCAGGACTTTCCCAAGTCCAAAATAAATGAGGACGGTGTTTAAACCAGATGTTACCAATTATCATGTTATGTAAGAGCCCAAGCTATTAATCTTTCACCTCTCTCATTCTTTTCCTCCTAGACCATAGCCACCAGTTACTCCTATACTCTATACATTACATAAATGTGGATTTGACATACATACCAGCCATGAACTTGCCCATGGGGTGGCCTTCCTCAACAAGTTCATAAGCGATGAGGTTTCTCATTCTCTCTCTATCATTAATGGCCAGCATCTGCCACTCTGAACAGCAAATTAAAAACTCAAATCATAAACAAATAAGAAAGAAATCAAGATGATAGGGAGAAAATATTCAGGCAGATCTACAAACAATTGAAGTCACAAACCTGAAAGAGATGGCTAATCATATAATAAAAAAACAAAACAAATTTTATTTTTAAAGGGTCATGAATTGGGAACACTGGCCATGTTACAGTCAGATAAGAATGACGATGTGTGCTGTCTGCAGAAATGAACATAAAGGGCAAAGAATGCTGAAGAAGAACTGGTAGAAGAATAAGAAAAAGAAGACCAACTGTGACAGACCAGTTAAGACTAAGTGACCTGCATTATTCATAATGCACACCTGAATATATATACAGAACCATTGCTGATCACCAAAAACACTGTGTATGTGCACAATCTCAACCTCGTATCAAAGCAATGCTTCTCCGTAGTAAAGACTTAATAAACTGACAATTTACTGCCTGGCAGAGTCAGCACAAAACCAATTCTAAATTACATACAAAAATAACAAATCAAATGTTTTGCCCACTTAGACAGAATGCCCTGTTATGCCATACTGTACGAGGCATACACTAGAAGAGTAGAGAATGCAGAGCATGAGGTTAAGAACAATATGAAAAGATAACAGAGAAACTCTACAACAGCACAATGCATGCATGGGGGGTCAAGGCAGCCAGAAGAGCAAACAGCAGAGACTTATATCTCCCTCGACCCCGGCTGTGGTAAACGAGAAAGTGAAGAAGATATTCTGCTGTATCTCTTCAAGCACATAATACAGTAATAACCTAATTTATTTGCTTCAATTTAATCAATGAGACTTTTAATAGCAGAACATTTGGAAGGAAGGTGAGAGAAAGACCAAGAAAGGGAGGGATGAAGGGTGTAGCAAAAACCTGCAAAAAGAAGAACACATCCATCACTCAATCCGCCCGAGAAGTGCAAGACAAATACAGAAAATCACGACACTGGGCTACAACCTGGTATCAGTGAGACGACAAAACCACGACACTGGGCTACAACCTGGTATCAGTGAGACGACAAAATCACGACACTGGGCTACAACCTGGTATCAGTGAGACGACAAAATCACGACACTGGGCTACAACCTGGTATCAGTGAGACGACAAAACCACGACACTGGGCTACAAGCTGGTATCAGTGAGACGACAAAACCACGACACTGGGTTACAAGCTGGTATCAGTGAGACAACAAAACCACGACACTGGGCTACAACCTGGTAACAGTGAGACGACAAAACCACGACACTGGGTTACAACCTGGTATCAGTGAGACGACAAAACCACGACACTGGGCTACAACCTGGTATCAGTGAGACGACAAAAGAAGAAGAATAAACTGTGCTAACTATTGTGTTGTCTTTGATTAAATCATCTTCAAATGTTTGTTTCATTCTGTATTGGCAAGAAGGTGTACTCTGCACTAGGCAATCCCATATGGAAATTGAAAAGTCTGTTAATAATTAAACTGACTGCAGTCACCTTTATTTGCCTAAAAGTTTGGAAAATGCATTATCAACTAAAGACTAATTTCAGCCAGTTTGTAAATGCTCAGCTGAATAATGACATCTGTGGCATTTTAATATGCCTCTTTGCAGACGCGATGTTGTAGTACCAGCCTGAAGACCATGGCTTAAGACAGTGGTATGGAGGAATGTCATCTGTGGAATGATCCAGAACACCAAAGACCGAGATCTGTGGAGATGCATGAAAGCCTATGCCAGCTGGCAAGGCACTTGATGATGATTAATAATGCCCCTTATTCCTCCACCCTTCATTCCATAATAAAGAAAGGCTCTCAACCAACCCACATCATGTTGTTTCCTTTTTACCTCCCCTGTCTCTCCTTTCCGTACATGTCTTGGGTGCTGGGTCTCACTTTATTTCTTTGGCCCTGAAGGTTACAGTGCAAGAACATTTTAGTTACCTTATGATAAAATTGTCTTAACCTGTGCCACATTCTGCACTGTATCCTCATCCTTCCATCTTCACAAATTTAGTTCCCTTCTAAATTGAGACATTTATCCCCAAATTTTTCTGTGTATAAACATTCGGCTCTCCTTTAAATAACGGTCCCAAATGATCTACGCAGAAAGTAAACCCAAACAGAGCCTCACTCATATCTAAAATTCGCATTTCTTTTGCGGTGATTCAACCGGGTCAAAAGTAGGATTAATTGTGCAGAACATTTTCGCAAAACGCAACAGATTTTTTTAAGGCGATTACACGGCGGCAAAACTAGGATTAACTACGGAAAAAAAAAATTTGCGACGCGCGAGAATACTGCCGATTCGCTATCCTACAGCAGGGCCCGAGTTATATGTAACTTGCAGACCGCTTTTCGCCGACTATAGTGGCACCTCCGAGAGTATCCCCTGCGCCGCTATGCGTGGCGCGGAAGGGGCTAAACTAGATGTCTAGGACTCACGAGCAGCAGCTACCGCAGCTCCTGCAACTTCCTCCAATGTATTTGCTCGTGAGTCCTAGCCATCTAGTTTAGCCCCTTCCGCGCCACGCATAGCGGCACGGGGGATACTCTCGGAGGTGGCACTATAGTCGCCGCAAAAAAGTCTACAATTTACAGGAGCTACTTCCTCTGTCGGAAGTAGCAGCGTGCTCGCATTCGCCACGGTCAAGGGGTGGTCGGGATAGTTGAGCGCCATCGTGGCGGCTGCTGGCTTGAAATTGTCCCAAGGCGACATGTGCGTACATTAAACCATGCATCACTGATCATGTCTCGCCCAGAACCAGACAAGCAGTGCTGAGTTGGAATGGCGGACAGCGAGAAAAAACAGATATTTGCGCACTATTTGCAACTTCTGTGCCACAATTTTCACATATAAAGGATTTAATTTTTGGTAAGTAGTAGACTTTGCCCTTTTCCTTACACTTTTCGTTCCTTATTTTTTCAGAGCTACACCTTTTAAATGTTTGTAGGGCAGGACGTAATGAGGCTCTGTTTGGGATCATTTGGAGCCGTTATTTAAAAGAGAGCCAAAATTCTACATGTAAAAGATAACTTGTTTTTTGTGTGTGGGTTTTTTTCAATATAGAAAAAAATATTTTAATTGCATTCCGCAGATAAGATGACTCCCAAATTTAAACTTTAAACAGTTTGGAAAAAACTGTCTTATACATGGAAAAGCATGGTAATCAGTTATTGGTCCTGTCACTGCACTTATTTCTCCCTCAGCTAAACAGGTATCAGCTAATGAACATTTAAAGTCGACAAGTATTTGTTTCAACCATTATCCATGCTTCAGGTCTGTACAGCAGTAAGGAAGTAAGTAAGCACCTTTTACCCCACCAGGACATCACACAGAGCGACAGACACCCAGTGACACAAAGTGCCACCATGGGGATGAAGATCACCCGTGGACAGGTCCCAGAAACCCCTTTCAGCCGTTCGGCCCTATTTTTGGTCCCGCTATATTCAGAGCTCCCAACAAAAGCCAGGGTTGGGCTTTAAATAACCAAAAAAAAATTGCATTCCACATGAGGATGACTAAGTTATATACCAGTAAGGATATGATGTTAGAATTAAAAATACTGAGTCTACTAGTCAGTGTTCTTCAACAATTTTACATCCGAGGACCAGGAGAAAAACAGGTGAAGTATTTGCTGAACTGGTTGAAGACAGAAGCATTTCAAAATGTACAATTTTATTAGGGACATTTGCTGCTGCTTGGAAAATCTGATATTCATGGCTGGAGCATGGGTTCTGAGATATAGAATATTGAAAAAAAATCTGTTTTGAGTTCTTTGTATGGTTTCTACTGTAGCTGCTACATGACTGGGCAGAACATTTCTGGCTGACTGTCGAGACATTTCTACAAGCTGAAGAACACTGCAACAGTTACACAAATCAGTCTCTTACCACTATCAACTGCCATGATTTCACGGTCCACTGCCTGCTTGAGGAAAAGAGGGCTAATGAAGAACTGGGCAAATATGTCCAGGGCTTTGTTAAAGGAATGTTGATGGCAGACAAAATAAAAGCAAGTCTGTGGAATATTGGTTTCAAACATTTCAAAAAAGTTATAATTGTTAACCCTTGTGCAACAGAAATGCTTAAAAAAAAAAAAAATGCACCATAGACCTGAGAGAACTGCCAAAAGAAATCCTTAAAAAACACATCTTTTACATAGGTCATGAATAAATTAGTTTAAAATGTATAAATATATAAAGATATAGGAAGGAAGTAATCAATAAACATGAACAGAGTGAAGCAATAAATGGACTACATTCTCCCGAAAGTTTTGACTGTAAGCTGACAATTTTAGTTTGCTCTGCCTAATTGTTCTACTGTGTACATCTTTTAATCCAGAAAATCTTAAAAATTTTTAATGTACTGTGTTTATTTATTTAAACGGAACATTAAATTAATTTTTACACAGTATATGTAAAGTAAATTACCCTCTTCCACGCCTTCAGGAAATATAGGGCTAGACCTTTATTTATAGACCCCTCGGCACTTGGTGGATGATGTGGTAAGCACCATACAGGCCACCTTTATTTCCCAGGACTTCACCCGATACCCACTCAAGGCTGGGTGGACCTAGGTGCCAAGTTCATTTCAAAAAAAAAAAAAAAAAGGGTTCGGCTTCGTCAGGAACTGAACTCACGACCTTCTGATCTGCAGGTGAGCGTCTAACTGATTACCAAGGCGACAGTATATGATACATTTAAAAATGTCTAAACATAGCAAAGCTAAAACTAACGGTTAGTTCTAGCACCTTAAGTTCAGACATTTAAGTAGAAATTAATCAATGTTTTTTCTATGTAAAAAAAGTATCCTGAGGTCCCATCAAGTAGCTTACCCATGAATTGGTCATAAACTTTAGATAAACTTAACTGATAAAAGATGGTAGCAAAAAAAATAAAGCAATACTGGCAATCTTATTCTGTCATTTATTCCCCAACCCAGTGCAGGCCCTCAACTAACACATGCCAAGTCATCATATCTATGATGTTACACACAGCGCACCCCTCATCATTAGATTAAAGAGCTGACTTTATAGCTACAAAAGCGATAGCTAAGGGAACACTCGTACTGGACAAGGAAGATATTCTGAAGACCCCCATATTTGAACAAATGTTGACAGAAGACACGAAAGACATGAGATCAGATGAAAGGTAAGAATGTGTAAACAAGGATTGGATCCGGGAAGGAGGGATGTAAAAGAGGAAGAGAACGATGTGTGTATAATCAGTTAGCATGGCAACAGTTTGCATCTACACATTCAGACATTTGCTGCGGGAAACGGAGCATCTATGGGTATGCCAAATGGGCTATGATGTTGATTCTCAAATCAGTAACCTCACTCAATATCTGATTTCTCTATTAGAAGTGGCTCCCCCTCCCCAATATAGTTGGCTGGATATTACTTGTTACTGAGTCTTAGGTTAGGTTTATGGGTAGTAACTCATAAGTGCTCGGCTCTACTTCTGACCCAAGCCTTTGTCCGAAGAATCTCAGTGCAGTGCACAAACTCAACAGCACCAGCGAGAATCCTGAAATACTTTGGGAAGATTTTTAACTCCAAATTTTGCTCGGGCAGCGCCGTTAGGCTACTCTTGTTCAATTTCCAACTGCCAAGGGATTTTCTGGCATCCAATCTTACTACCCTCAGACCAGGGAAAATTACTGGAAGTCCATGTGAAAAATCTCAGCCTTCACCGGGGCTTGAATCCCGGACCTCCAGCACTCGAGGCAGATGCCAAGCCTCAAGACCACACAGCCCCCCAATGAATCCTTTCCATAGCTGGTTGATTGTTGTAGATACTGTTGTTTACAAGCTGAGGTAATTAGCTCAAACCCTACCCTTAATGGTCTCTTATGACAGGCATTGTAGGTTGCAGTGTTACTATTCTCTACTTCCCGTAAGATCTCCAGTAATACACTAGCAAATATTGTTACTGGGCTTAAAGTTCTTTGCTGGAAAAATAATTGTCACATTTAACCAGCAACCCCGGCAACAGGCAACAAAGTGGGTCGGCTAGCCAATGAACGACCTGGTCGCCGATGCTATTGCGCTGAAGAGAAAACTGACGATAAATACATCAAAGCAAACATTTTAGTTCCTCCCTTCCAGTGACTACTTATCTTCTATATACTAACACACACAAAAATTGTTCTCTGAACTGTTATGTCACCAATTTGTCTACATTAAAAAAATAAGTCATTCCTACCCTTTCACAGTCAGTCCATGCATTTGATTCACCACCATTATTTGCCAGAAATTCATCCCAGAAATTCTCTTTTGGATATTTCTTGCTGCCCATAAATACCACTGAGACAAAATCAGAAATGAAACATGTTAGGAAAAACTAATCATGTACATGAAAAAGAAACTTTTAAAAAAAAAAAAAAAAAGGAAAAAAAAAAAAGGCCGGACCTGTAAAATAAATAATCCACAGGTTAATGAGCCCCCCCCCCCCCCCCCCCCCCCCCCCCCCCCCCCCCCCCAACTGGATAATCACCCTAAAGAAGAAGTAAATGCAGACAGTAGTAGCAGTTTTATAAAGGAAAGCAAAACTTTTTTGTACACAGATTTGAGGTTTAAGGTTTAAACAACAGATCTACATCTAAGCTTAAGAAGCTCAGCACAGTGCACAGGCTCTGTAGCACTGGCAAAGATCCTGAAATACTTTAGGTAGATTTTTAAACTCAAAATTTTTGCCCGGGCAGCGCCGTTAGGCTACTCTTTTCGATTTCCAACTGCCAAGGGAATTCTTAGATGCACAACAATACACACGGGCATTTGATCTCACTACCCAGAGACCAGGGAGAATTACCAGAAGTCCAAGTGAAAAAATCCCAGCCCTTCCCAGGGATTGAACCCGGAACCTTTAGCACTCAAGGCAGATGCCATGCCTCGAGACCACACAGCCCCCTTATTAGTACACAGTGACTAGTGAAGAGTATCATCATTGCACCACGATCAGAACCATAGCTGCTCACATCTCTTCCTCAAAAGCTCCACAATGGTACAATGACTGATGACCCCTGTTCTCGTTGCTGACGAATCAAATTAGTGAAATATTCATTTTTTTTGCAGCTCCAAGTTGCACCCGGATGTCCATCAGCACAGACAGAGATAGAGTCATACCACTTGCTGTTTTCATCATCTTGTAAGTGCTGCGCTGATGACATCATATCTGTTTGGGACCAGACAAGTCACACCAACGGCAGTGTCTGCCAGATATATGTTCGCCCACTGCCTTGAACACCCACATGAACCAGAATCTTCCACCGGAGTTTACAGATGGTGAACGTGAAGAAGAAGAATACTAAGCATTTACACATGTTAAATTGATTGTCTGTGTTTGATATCACTGTAATTAAGCATCAACCAGGGAAAAGATATGAAAAGCCGAACAAGATCAACCACTATGATAGAGATTGTCAACACTACCATCGGATTTCCGTGCTTACAGGTAGGAGACTACATAGCCAGCCTTGTTCCTTAGTCAGTAGACAAGCTGAATTTCTGCAGTATCAGAAGTTTCTGTGAAGGTGGGGTCAAGCCGGTAGCCTCACACTCTAAAATGCTATGGGTTAATTTCAATGGTTTGCATCATCAGGAGTGTAGTTTCTGTGGAGACTCGACCTGAGCATTATCACTGATGAAGCAGACCACAGGAGTGTACAGAGGATACTTACTATGCTCCATAAAATGTGCAAATCCAGGGATCTCTGACAAGTCAGAGAAGCTGCCAACACCAATACATAATGCAGCAGCAGCCTAGACAGTTGGAAAATGAAAATATATGAAACAAATATATGTATTCACAAATGTTATATAGTGTATACCTGATAAAGAGAACTCACTGAGGACCCAGAAAATAGTTCTTTTTATCAGAAATTCCTCTCAAAAGTTCAAGAAAAATAAGTTGCAGAGGATAAACAAATTATCTTCACAACAGAAGTTCCCCATTAGAGATCACCTCACGCGGTCTGCACTGTGCTGAGTGAAAACATGGATACTCGATAATTCTCTTTTACTGTGTTCACCAGGGTGGTTGGCACACTGTGTTGTGCTTTACAGCTAGGCTGTGATATCAGCCGCATCTGGCCCAATACACCCAATTTCAGGAAACTCCCTAATTGGTTATTTGTAATGACATGCTTGTTCGTGTGGCAGTGTGTCAATTCTGCCCCCTCGTCCTAAATGGGGCCCTTGAATGAACACTGTCTATTTATAGAGAACAAAAGTGAAATGTGAGTTTTTAAGAAAAAAATAATGAAAGTCTTCATTTTTTGTCTATGCTGTCAGGTTTTGGTCATCAAGTTTGTCCACAACTTTTGTCATGTGTACTGACAAACCTTTCTTAAAAATATGTTACTCCATGCCATAATGCAAAACTGCATGGTGTTACCATTCCTTCAGAGTACATAAGACAGGCCAAGAGAGGGATGATACTACATAGGCAACACACAGTCTCTACACTACTGCCTAGGCATTTTTCTATGGACAGCAGAAACTTCAGTCCAACTTTCCTGTTGTTATGATGTACTCCAGCTTTTCCCCTCTCATAACATTTTCTTCTTCCTTGTTTTCTAAACGATGTAGTGTGACTTAACAGCTAGGCTGCAATATCTGTGCTTTTTGTTGGCCGTAGACATCCCATTTTAGCAACCCCTAGCCAGACGCCTTGTAAAACATGCTTGTTTTAAAAAAAAAAAGGGAGGGGGGAAGGTGGGCGCAAAATAGGCCTACTGTTACCCCACCCCCCCAACATATATTCACTATGAATTTTATGCTCGCAAGTTCTAAAACTTCAAAATAAAACAAGACAGCCATAGTACTTTAGTCGCAATAAATAATGCAGAATCCAATGAAAATCATAATAAAGGGAAAAGGTTGAAAGCAAAAGACGAAAGGACAGTTAAAAATATAACAGGACAGATAAGATGAAGACATGATCAGTATTTAACACACAAAAAGAGTTAGTTGCGTGTCCTTCACAGGACGTTGTAGAACGAACACCAGCACTTGCTGGCTGTTGTGGTTTTTCTAGGCAAAGTTTACTTTTGCTGTCGAAACCAACACAAGACAGTGTGCTGCTTAGCACAAGCAGCTGGGATTGAACTCAGCATCCCGGCATTACGAAGCACATTCACAATGTCTATGATCAGTATAAAACCCAGGAACAAAAAAGATAATGAAGTTAAGATGTAAACTGAATGACAAAAACTGGCAAAGACCCAGACAGTGGAGATGAGATGGCAAGGGGTGATAATAGTGAATTATTACTGAATTTGTTTTCTACTGCAGAATTTGAAAACAATCAATTAAGGGTAGTTACTTCTGAGTCCAACTGATTTTGTATTCTGTTTGGAAAGGTTGGAAAATATTGTGACGACTGGAAAGATCACTGGTAGAAGAGGCAGACCAAAAGAAATGATGGTGGATAGCATAAAACAGTGGCATGGAGGAATATCATCAGTGGAATTGATCCAGAACAACAAAGACTAAGATCTATGGCTACACATGAACGCCTAAGCCAGTTGGCAAGGTACTTGATGATGATGATGGAAAGATTATGCTTCTTCTTAGCGTTCACCAGCTGTGATAAACAGCAGAAAGTTCTGGCTGTTCATCCACATTTGGACATCAAGAACTTGAAATTTACATGCACATCCTTTCTAACTTGTGTGCAAATCATTGGTTCCTTGCCTTTAACTCTACTAGACCGCTGGCCCGCTATTACGAGAATTTCCTAATCTGCCGCTAAACTGCTGTCCCTTAATGTCGAAAATGTGCGTACTACGTGAAAACAATGCGTCAGAAACTAAAAATAACTAGCCAAACATAATCAGACCCTCTGAGATAGTCATTCCAGATGTCTGCCCGCATGTGTTTGGATTAAATTTGTGTTGTTTTACTAGAACAAAATTCTGAAATTCACAACAAAACGAGCAGCAGATAAACCAAGCACTTCAACAGGAAAGTAAAAGTAGGTCTAGGCTTTTCACAGTGCAATAGGTGATCAATACTATGGTTTATTCAGACTCTGCGTAGTCATAATTTCATAAAGAATACGTTCACAGCTGAAGGGACACAGTCAGTGAGAGATGGAAAGATGGGGAAAATCTGGAAAATTATAAATCTAGAAATAGGTCGATAGTAGGTGAAGGGGGTGTGTCCCTCAAACAACAACAACTGGTGTTCACTTTGTGAAGCAAGGATGTGTGGATAGGCACACTGGCGCAAGATAAAAAAGGTAAGCCTATTTTCTACAATGTCTCCAAGTTTCATCTTATTCTAGCTACTTGTTTGCATGTAACTAATATTTTTGTAAATCAGGTTGGTTTTTTCGCATTAACTCTTTGAGTCCCAGGGGGTTTAGCATCACAGGCCCAGGGGGTAATAACGAGAGTCATTAAATCGGCGCATCATGCGTACACTGGGCTTCTAGGTAGGAACCCATGAACGCACGATGCGTTCCTTGGGACTCAAAGAGTTAATGCCCAGGAACTCAGGTCTAGCGGGCAGTTAGGTTCAGGGCCTCAGGTCTGGTAGGGTTAAGGCAGATGCCCTTTGACTCTGGAGGAAGGAAGCATTCATTTATTTGTTTCACTGTATTCAACTGCTACTGCAGTATGTATCTGATGAGATACAGAGAAATACACCAAGCAATAAACTGTGCAAATCTATTGTATCTGGCTTCTTTGTTCACATTTAAAATCCATATTTTTCAAGCATATCATGGGTAAGGGGTAAACAGCAGTATGTTATGACAACAGGAAAATCTGAGGGGAAGAGATGCAGCTGATAGACCAAGAGAGAAGATGTTGTACCGTTCAGCGCTGTCTTCTTCTTCTTCTTTGTGCTCACCAGCTGTAAACTCTGGCAGAAAGTTCTGGCTGTTCATCCACTTTCGGACTGCAGTCCTGTTCCAAAACCTGAGTGTTGCGTGTGCATCTGTTTTACAAATATGACTCATTTATATGCAGACTGCCTCTTAGGCAGATGCACTCCCAATTAGTCCACTCTTACGACGTGCTTTTGGGTAGGCAGTGGTTCTATTCTTGTTTTCCCTATTATAGGGCCCTGGAACCCCCACATGGGGATTCAGCACTGTGATATGCAGGAACATCTGCACAAAGACAAATGACAGACAGCAAATGAGACAGAAGGCTGTGGGACAGATACAATGACCAGCACCAAGTTTAAAGTAAAGCAAAGGATCCTTTTCACTTCAATGTCACATTAAGAATATGATTCTAAAATTGTATTTTAAAAGACTAGTGAGTCCCACTCAGTGGGTGATGCAATCAACTTCA